AAAGCCGCCGAACGACGCAGGTCGGGTTTCAAACTTTTTGTTGTGCGTCTCTGCAAAGCACAACACATTGAAGACACAAATGTAATGTCAATCTTTTTTTTTTTTTCCTTTCAATTGTCATATCTACAAATGGAATCAGTAAATTAGTACGATACTGCAATGGTGAAATGTAGATGATCTTATATACATAGAAGAATTGTTTTCACATTATACACAAATCATTCTACAAAGCAGCAGTTTGTTGCAAATGACATACCTTTTAAGTAACAGAATTCACCTTTTCTGTGTACATTGCTGTGGGTCTAAGATGGATCTTGTCCTTTTTGTTCAACATTACCACATACAATCAGTTTTGACTACTATTAAAACATAATACTGTTTTATTGACAGATACAGCAAATAAAATATTAAATATCAAACTAAGTCTTTGGCAAACGTGGTATAAAGTACATTCACTTTACATTTCCAGGAGCGTATGTATGGACCCTTTCCATTTCTATCCTCGGTTAACATTTGGTGAAACCACACAGAGGGCTTACATGCATGTCTACCTCTCAGGACCATAGCCAAACCATAAAATAATCAAATTAAAAAAGCTGTAAGGCATTTGTTGAACTTGTTGTACAATTGACTGCTAATGATTACTTTGGTACTGAGCCAGTCAGAGTAGTTCTGTCTCAGTTACACGTTACAAAAATGGTTCTTTAAGTTTAAGGAATCATTAATGATCCACACGGAAGGACAAAAAAAAAAAAAAAAGCAATGTACTAGTTTTGTAATAAATAGCAAGTGGTTTTTGTCCAATGTTGCTGATTTTTTTGTCAATTGGAGTAGACCTTTTTGCTTCTATGTAATCTGGCAAATTTACAAAGATAATTGCAATTCATTTTGTACTTATAAATCCAGTAATGCAAAATAGTGCAAACGAGAAAAGAGCGGCACCGATCATGATGAAAAAATGGAATATCCTGAAAAGGTATGACACACAAATGCACACACGCACACAAACCATCAGCTAAACCAAAACAATAATTTAATATACGGTTTCTTTTCAGGTCATTTACAGCAACAGTTAACTTCTTCAGTGTCTGACCTGTTTTTATCTTTTTTTTTAATCTGTTTTCTTTACCCCGTTTTGATTGTGTATCACAGAAAATGTTAAATCAAGTCGGTAATTTCATACCACGAGTCAGAGATGGCTTCTAAGACTGTTACACTTGTCTGTTTGACAGATAATGGAGCAATTCTGCAGTTTTCTGCTCAGCTGACACGTCGCTGTTCTGTCCGTGAGAGGTAAGACACTAGTGAAATGGTGTAGGACATGGGCAAATTACTTTAAAGGCCTCAGGCAACCTTGTGTGTGTGATCTGTTAGTGATCCTAAATACAGTATGTAAAGGAATGTATTGATTGATTTAAAGAGAGAACAAAACAAAAAAACAACAACACATCAATTGTTACTTCGTATTTCTTCACACGGTTCGTCTTGTTTTATATCTTGTATAATATATATATTTTTGTAGAATCTTTCAAAGTCTTTCAGGAAATAGTTCAGTCATTGTTCAGCGATTTAGAGCATGATAGCCTTAGTGTTGATGTTGCGTGAGGGGGTTGGGGGTTGGGGGGGGTGGTATAGTCGATGTCTGATGGGGGGGGGGGGGGCCGCTGTTGCTTGACCCTCCTAATCCGATCTCGGCCCCATGAAACTGAAGACCGCGTAGCCATCTTCAATCCCTCTGACCTTAGTGCCATTCAGACTGGTACGATATGGAGGCTGCGGCCATGGTCCTGCAGTTTGATTGGGTTGCCATGGTAACTAGTGGCGGTCATAGGCAGTGGCAGCAGTGGGAGGGGCGGAGCCCCGGGATGCGGCACTATAATAATAAGGGGAACCTGGAAGTTAACAGAAGAGCGGAGCGTTTGAAACCACAGCAAGAGCAACATTTTACGCCCACTCCCAATGGTTTTGCTTATGTAAAATACAATCAAACTATTCTATTACGTTCCGAAACCTCGGCACGCACAAAAACACTTGCGAAGGGCTTATGAGCATCTTAATTTAGAGATGCAGTGTGTTATGACCTTGCTAATCAAAAAGAGAAATAAAACTGTAGCTAGTTTAGTAAAGCTGTATGCAAATAATGTCATTGTAAAATGTGATTATATTAATCCCACTTTAAAGCGACTAATCCCATAAGGGATAAGCAAAAAGGGTTAATACTCACTTAATAACGCGGGGTTGCTGAACCGCCAAGCTTCATTGTAAGTTGTGTACTGCGGGTGAGAGTAGGGATTTCCTGAAAAGTCGCTTCCTAAAATCAAACACAAATGACAGGTTAGCAATAAAGAAAATGGGGTATCTTAAAGCATATTCGGTAGAAGCTCAACAGTCAGAATTTGTGGTATAATGCCCTTTTTTATCACTGAGAAATTTATATTGAAAGCAAATGGTGCCAATTTATGGAAAATTTTAACGCATTTTATAATTTATAGTGCAATCAAGTCGATTAATCGGATCAAACTCAAAAGTTTTTGTTTATATAATATATATGTGTGCGTGCCTCGGTGTGTGAAAGTGTGTGTGTATATATATGCATGCACACATACATATAGCCATGTATGCATATGTACAGTATATATGTGTGTGTGTGTGTATATTATATAAGCAAAAACTTTTATGTTGGATGCGATTAATCAATTTGAGAACCCTAATAATTTCATAAAAGCACTTAAATGAACTATTTTGTTAATTTTGTAAAGCTATTCAAATCTTTTGCTGTTGTTTTCGAAGTTGGCAACAAAAAAATAAATCAAATCAAAATAATTGTTTACATTTTGTGGCTTTACTATTTGAACAGTGAGTATTTTAACACAGATTTGCCCTTTTGTATATGCCTCAATGAACACTGAAAAAAAAATTCTCTCGTAAATTGCATCAAAGAAACAGCAAGTAACACATTCAATTAAATGAGAAAATTCGTAAGACTGAACTATAATTTTCACGTTCTTACTCCAATAACTAAATAATTTTTTTTTACAGTGGAATCTAGATTGCGGAGGAGGGAGAAGTAGAAATTAGAAATTAATTTTGTGCTAATCACCATTATGCTGTCGATTGAGCTCAACTGAATTACAGTAACGCTGTCCTTGAAATATTGCATCACATTAGTTCAGCACATCAGAACTAAAGGAACTGGCATTGTTTCGCCGCTCTAGATAGCAGATGGCTCGCCCTGTCCTCTTTCCAACGCCCTGGTGCACGGCCATTTTGGCTGAATTTGTTACATTAATCCTGAGCTGGGGTTTGAATTTTCTTTTCTTTGATTCTGCTGTAGCGCTCTTAAGATTCTCTTTTCTTTGGCCGCACCAAAGCCCCGCTTCAAAAAACCTCCCCAATGGATTCGTTCTCGCGCACACTCGCCCCTTTTTATGCGGCCGAATTCGACTTTCAGGAAGCGGCCCTGTCCATGTCAGTGAGCAATGCTGTTGGTCCCCCACGTTTCTTTCTTTTACGAGACAATAAAGGCCGGGTTTTATATGAAGCTGGTGAGGAATGGCTTTTGCTTTAACAGTGTTTGGGGTCTGTCACTAAATCTTAGTCGTTCGAGGGCCAGATGAATGGAAGTGCACACAAAACCCATGGCTCTAGGATTTAAGAGGATTTCTCAGCCTGTGTGACCAATGAAAATGAATCTTTGATGAAAACATATTTGATGTACCTGTAAAGATATGTTTGCCCAGCAAATGAATCCTGTCACTGAATTAAATTTGCCCCTGCGAACCATTCATGTTTGTGAGCCGTGGAAGCCCAAGACAGACTCGAATCTATCTGAGGCACTCAACGGTGACCGAGAGAAGAATCCCTCTCTGTGCCTGATGTAAAATATTTGTTTTCCAATTTTCGCACACTGCGTGTTTGTGCTCACAAGTCTGACTTAGAGCACTGATGTTATCCCTCGGCTCCGAGTACAATCGCATTTACACTTTTCCAACTTCTCTGTGGCATCTCTCAGGCTGTCCGTTTGCATGCAGGACGTATGTGTGTGTGTTTGTGCTGTTTGGGGAGAGGGCACCGTTCTTGCTGCCAGATTGCATCCTGTCCTGGCAGTGAAACTCAAGTCAGGTCCCTCTGAGAGATAGTGATTTAAATATTTACAGGCCTTCCCGCCCGCTGTTTTGTGACCCTTAACTGTTTGCTGTGAACCTGAACTGCAGGTTAAGTAGAGGGGAAAAGAGATACGCTCTGCAGCACTAGAGGCTAGCTTGGAGAAAGCTGTGTTTATCGATGGCCTGTGAGAGCGTCGAACGGTTGGGGAGAGGGAGGGAGGGAGGGGCGTAATGAGCACTGGAACCCGAGTGGAACTGAGAGGAACTGTCCTATATCCCGCACTTATGTCCCTGATCACTTATTGAGAGGCGCTAATTTTCTCCTCAGCAGCCGATAAGCTGAAGCTCCTACTCGGCTTATTGACGACTCGAGATCGAAATCCACACTGCCTGTCCTTGTCTTTAGTTGGACCGCAATTCAAATCTTCCTCATTATTCTTATCCTCATTAATATTATGCTCCTCGTTACTATTATCCTGTTTAATAAATATTAGCATCACCAGAAATGTCATGGGCAACATGCATGTAGCTTTTGTGTCACTTCTTCTTAAAATGTTACCTGGCATTCTACACTAATATATTAAAACATACAAAAGCAAGCTTTGGGCTTGTGGTAACTGAATATTAATGCACAATATTTTATTATTTTCCAGATGCAGAAGTGCAAATTGACCTCAGGTTTCCTAAAAACGATCAATTGCACAGGACCGTTCCCTGGAAATATTACGAGCTCTCTTAAAATTAACGTCCTCGTAAAAATAGTAATTAAACTTACCAGGGACCATTCCAGCAAGTGTAGAGGTGGGGTAGCTGCCCTGCCCAGTGGGGGGAACGTGAGGTGGGTACCCTGGTAGGGTTGTGCTTGCCATGTCTCGACCTGTAAAGAAAGTAAAATTTGTAACAAACAAATACACACACACAAAATAATAATAATAATTCAATGGGCAAAATGAGCTTAGTTTTACTACTACATTTTTTTAAGTGTACTACACCTAATGAGGGAAGTTAGGCAGAATTCAAGATTTTTAGATCATACAAACACTAGATATATAGGGTATATTAGAGTTACTTTTTGATATGCTGTAAAAAAAGATAACATGAATACCACATATTTTGGCACATACAAATGCATAATGCATAGAAGTGCCCTAAGCATTAAACTACTTAAAGTGTTACATGCACATCAATAACACTTTTTAAGCACAACCCTGTAACCATTTTCACTGAAAATCTAAGAAATCAGCTCAATCTTTTTTGTTGTTGACAGAAAACTAGAAAACCCACATGCCAAGCATGCACTGGGTAAAGTTAAATTCACTCCCCTTAAATTCACAACCTGAAAAACTGTTGACCCTGCAGAAGCTAAAACACCTCCACTGCTTTTTTTTCTCTTCTAGGTCACTCAGCCTTTTAACTTCCTTTAATACACAGAGTGGCGCTGCTGGCCTGTTTTGACTGATCCGACAGAGAGAAGCACAGAATGCCCTCGGCCTGCTGGTGGCATTGCTGCTGCTGCTAAAAAGCCCAAAACATCACGAGAGTGCAGAGCACACAGTGCCAGCTCCATATTCAGTTCTGTCATTTTAGGTGATGGCTAGCAATCCTACTGGATGTGCTGGCTCAAACTTTGGATCACGTAGGCCTCCTTCAGTCCCAGCTGGACCCTTGTGAGGTCCTGCATCATTGTTTGAAAGGGGACCATAGGAGGGGCGGGCCGGGCAGGTGATCTTTCCCCCGGTCCAGCCACCAACAAGAGAGCTGACAGTCAAACAGGCACACCAGGATGGTAAGCAATGTGAAAACTTGTGATATATATATAGTATAGTATATAGTAAATAAGCATAGTCACAGAACTAGAGACTAAAAAAGTGTTAGCAGTGTTTCTCAGGACAGTACAGGACAGAAGCTGTCTCCAGAAGCGCCATGGAATGTGCTTATCTATCGATCTATATATATATATATATATATATATACATACATACATTTTTATTATTTTTTTTTTTTGTCCGTTTTACACACGGACACTACCTTTCAAAAGTTCAGGGTCGGTAAGGTTTTGAAAAATCTCTTTGGTATCTCAAAGGTCTATTACACTCACCAAGGCTACACTTTATTTGATCAAAAATGCAGTAAAATAGTACTATTGTGTTTTATGTAATTTTTTTACAACTTAAATGAACTATTTTTGATTGCAATTCATTTATGTATACATAATGTCTAATTTTATTCATATAATGTATTTTCTGCATCATTACTCCAGTCTTCAGTGTCACATGATCCTTCAGAAATCACTCTAATATGTTGATTTGGTGAACAAGATCAATGTTGATCACATGATTCTTTAATGATTACAAGTTCAAAACCACAGCATTTATTTTCAATAGATTTTTTTTTATAACGTAAAAGAGTCACTTTTAATTAATATAATGCTTAATGGATTAAAACTTCTTTCAAAAATATGTTAATGTCCTCAAATTTTCAAAGGTGTAACACTTAAAATTAGTTAAAGAGTGTTTTTTCTTCCTTTGATAATATGTAGGGCACCAAATGACCTTGGACTGCTATTGGTGCCCTCTTAAAAAGAAACAGATGCATGACGCCTCTGGCTGTTTCCCCCATTTACCAGCGCAAGTTTCTAATCTTTCTTTTTTTTTTTTTGTAGGGTGTACCTGCTATAATAGGCTGGCTTGCATACTGGCTGTAGCTGGGGGCATGATGGGCATAGGCACCGTAGCAGGGAGTTGAGGCATCTACTGACACGCTGGGCTGGAGGGGCAACAGTTCCGCTAGACCCGAGACTGCCAGTGAGGAAGGGGTGAAAGGAGCCAGGGAAGCCTCATGCGGCTCCTGCTTAACACACGCGGAGGATGAATGTGACTCTGCCAGGTGGAGAAAAACAACAAAAAAAGCCACACACACACAATCAGACAATGCACAATCACTCGCACTCAGCAAAAAAAAAAAAAAAAAAAAAATGAAGAATGATTCATGACAGATGGAAGTACTGAATGGATGCAGTAAAAGAAGAGGAAAATGAAGTTTGGCTGACAGTGTTTGGTGTTGTTGTGATGCTACATTGCGTTTAGGAGGAAAAGAAGGATTTATGTGAAGTTCCGAGAGCCGTGGTGTTCTGACTCAGTTCCCCGGGTGTGTTCAAGAGTTTTAACAGAGCCTCCAGAGGCACACGCTCAGAAAACAACATTTCTACACGCACAAGGGGATTTGGTCAAGGTAAGCCAGGAAATGTTACTGTGCGATGTGTGGGTTTAATCATCAAAGATGCTTTAAAACTTTTGCTACACATGTTTGTGGACTACAATTTTTTGAATCATTGGACTGTTTGATGCATTATTCCTGTAAAACTATTCGACAAAATAATTATTTATTTTTCTGTATATTTACAGCTGTCATTAGTACTCCCAGCAACTCTCAGTGAAACATCGCCTCTCACAAAAAAACATTAGGATTGATATTTTATTCCTTATGGTGGCTTGGTGCCTGGAATGCATCTCTTTAAATTCAGGAATTGCAACATAAATTTAAAATAGATCAAAAATAGATACTTTTAATCGTGGACATTTTTGTTGATGTAAACATTGTATATATGTATAGATGGAACAGTCACTGATTTTATCTTCAGTAGACCAGTCGAACCTCTTAATTCAATTTGCTCACATTAATAGAGGAAAACATCAGATTCCGAATATCACAGTTTCCCATAATTTGCAATTTCAAAAATCTATATTTTTGGGGGGAATTCCAAGAAAAGTTTAAGGCCAGATGGCCAGTTATATTTATTTGATAAAACAACATTTTCCTTGAATTTTTTCCTTCATTGTGATTCTTAATTTTGGGCCCTGCTTACACTTACGAACAGAATAGATTAGAAGTGAAAATATATTTTCATAGTTGTAAACTAATCATAGAAATCTATCTTTCTATCTTTGCAAACTTATAATTTGCTCCATAACATAAAGCTATCAACTTTAGCTTTATATCTGAATCTAAATAAAGCTACATTTTTATACAAATCTGATTGGAATTATTTATCCGTCAAATGAGCTAAAAATGAGCAAATACAAGCAGGTTCAAACAATATCTCTTGAAGAGCATCAGCAAACAGCAGCATGGCTCGCAGATCAATCAAGCTCAAACACAGAGAAATTTCCCTAAGGTTCGGAGGTAAGAGTCGCATCTCCAAACAAAACAAAAAAAAGCCTGCAAATCGCGACACGGCCCCTTTGCATCGCCAGCCCTAATATCATTTGGCTGATGAGGTTTGGCATTTTTCATCTTAGCGGGTTTGCCACTGCAGCTCAAGCAATCAATTTGAGTTCTGTCTTCATCTCTCTCTCCACTCATCCTCTTTAACATCCTCTGCTGTTAACATGGTCTGTGGGGAGGGCTCTCACAGCTTCATGATAGCCTCATTAGCTGTTTCCCAACTATTGTTGTTTTACAACCGAGCTATGTGCGGAGAGTCGCTCATTAAGATAAGGCCTCCTTTTTGTCAGATGCATCCCTGACAACCCGTTCTGACCTAATGCCAGGAAATCGGGCAACTTAACTGGCTTCTTTCCCACACAAATCAATGGCAGAATTTTCTTTCCTGCGCAAGTCTGCGAATCTTCATACAGCAGGAGCAGGATTTTTAAATCGCATACAAAAACGAGGCTGTTAGATGACTATATCTCAAAGAGTTAGATGATGGCCATAAAGCCTAACTAAAAAAAACCTTAGAGGCCAATAAAGAAGAACAGGAAGAGATGCTGTCGGAGGAATTAGGCCTGCCGCTGTAAAGCAGACAAGGGCGTTCGCTACACTGACCGAAGCCCAGTGTTCAAGATCACTGAACTCTGAAACTAATCAGAGGTGCTGTTGCTTATTATCCTGGAAACAAGCTATACCTGCAAAAAGGAAGGCTGTCAACCTCCTGATTACAGAGATGGAAGATAAACACTGGTCTATGTGGAGGCGCATCACATCTCAACATGAACCAGAGCTATAGAGTTCTCTACGTACGTCTGTCTCGCTCTCATGAATGCATGGTTTCACATGGGTGCAGTAGAGATGAGAGAGAAATGACTTGTTTTTTTTTTGTTTTTTTTTAAACCCAACAGTTCCAGCAAAGTCACCTGCCTTATGTTTTGTAAAAGTACTGAAAACTTTGACCTCAATTTTCAATATTTCTCACAAGATCACAGGAAAACCAGACTGCTTTACACTGATCAATTGCAGCAATGTAATGTTTTTAAGCTTGAATCCCTGATATAAGTTGCTAAAGTTATTCATTATCAAATGTGTGCTTAAAGGTTAGTGTGCTATTGTGAGGCTGAAATAAACATTCATTTGGGCTCTAGGGCCTGCCGGGGCTTCTGGTGACTCAAGACAGAGGCAGTTTGTCACCGGGCCACACATCAGGTACCTCAGTCTAGCCAGCAGCGTGTTGTTTGCTGCTCACTGGAGAATAGCGGGCCACACTTAAAAAATGGCTCTCTGTCGGATATATTTCAGCCGGAGTTCATCAGCCGCATAAACCGACACAAAGCAGTCTTTTCTTTCACTCTGCCTGTGTATGCTGCTTTCCTTTCTTACTTTTCTTGCTTTTTTTTTTTTTTTTTTCCAGACATGGATCTCTGTTGCTTTCAGGCTCGGGCTCTCTGTATTTTTTTTCTCCTCCCGCCCCCTCCTCTCCCTCCATCTCTCTGAAGAGATTTGGAACAGGGGGGATCCCTTCAGCACCTGCTCAGGTTTTCAGCGGGTCGGAGGGGTGCCCATTTACACGGTACCATCCTACTGGCACCAGGAAGACTTCCATTATATGGCTCGGCAGGAACAGTGCTTAAGAATCCGCACTAGTCATTCATTGTGAAGGTATGTGCAAACGGCCTTTTTAAAAGGCTAGTCATATCTGGACAGCATCCAGACTTTTTACTGCAGTTTGAATAAATCATGCCATTGTTTCTTCCCCCCCTCTACTACGGTTAATACATGAAAGTGTGGAATGTTCATGAGTCATTGGGGAAAGTACTGCACCTGATGACAACAGAAGTACAGTCATATAACTCTATAATCTGTACTTTCTGGGATTTGATATTATTATTTAAAAATGATTCATATTTATTTAATTTTATGTGTATTTTATTTATATATTTATAAATGAAAATGTATATTTCTAAGCATACATCTATTCCATTATTTTAATGAATGTACTTTTTTTTTTATCCAACATAATACATTTCAATTTTAAAATGGGTTTTCCTTTAGGTCTTTCAGTACAGAGCAGTAACCCCTAAAACTAATTGGGTAAACAGTTAACACAAAAATCTATCCTATGCCTCGTAGTGCCCTTAAAATTCCAATTTCTGTTTTGTAATGAAGAGTTCATTAATCACTCATCTTTAATAGATTATGCAAATCGCACGACATAAAATCAACAAGATCAATGGCAGTGTGAATTTTAATTGGCTCAGGAAAACATTGCTGGGAATGAACATAATCTCCAGCTCTATCCAATGAGAGGGAGTAATTTATTCAGAATTGGCTCTCAGTGTAAATGCGTAGGGTAATTTAGCACCTCCTTTAACTCTGTCCTTATTCTTATTTCCAGTTTATCACATGCGAGTACACCATAACATTACGTTATTGCCTCTTTGAACTGCTTTTCTTGCTTTTTTTATTTTTATAAATGAAGTTATTACTGCCAAAAGTCATTTAGAATACGACATGGAACAGTTAATATATACGGCTCTCACGAAATGTCATTTGGAGCCTAGACATTCTGAAAGAGCTTTAGAACATAACTACAACTGGTTTTTTTTTTTTTTTTTCTGAATTTAGGATGCCAGGGGTAGGTATTCTCATCATGCATGCATAAACAACACTGTTTTGAAATCATTAACAACAATATAACTTAAACAACCATTTGAAAATCTCTCTAGTATAGAGCCGTTCCTGTGCTCTACCAGAAGCAAGAGGTGGTCTGCACTAAGACCCCCGGTGTGTCCCGTCCCAGGTGCAAGAAAGGCCACCTGCCATGAGGGTGCTCTCTAGACCGAGACTGCTTTCATACAAAGGACAAAAACACACCTTTCTTCTCCAGAGGCCCAACTTTCTGGAGGGAACTCTACCTCCCACATATTACAGAGGGGGGAAAAAAGCCCTTTCTTTTCACATAACATTATCCAGCTATCATTTGAGATGGGGACACAGCAATTTTCAATCATCCTGTCCTCCGCCCACACAGAACTCATTGGCTTTGATGGCTCCTGCATAATTATGTGAATTTTATTAAAAGCTCAGCATATTAATCTCAGCCCGACAGTTGGCTATCAGTAAACTTAACCTTCTCTGAGGTAATAACAGCCGCAACAATGAAACAATCTTTCAATTAGCCAGGCTGACATTAACTATCGCATACCACACACACACACAAAAAAAACGAGGCAACAACAAAGGCCAAACCATGCTAGACCGCCATATTTCTTTCTGAGAACTATGAGCTGAAGAAAACTTTTCAGTACACAAAGGTAAAGCAGTAAAACAAATCCATTGGTTTTTGGCGGACAGTTATCCAAAATCACTTTGAATGATTGGGACTTGCATGCAAGAAACGGCGCCTGTCTGTTTTGATCGCCTCTCTCTTACACGGGTCCTCAGAGCAGGCAGCACTAATCCATCCACTTTAGATCAACATGTCACATTCCACTCTCACCTGTCCGCTCAACTTATAAAGCTCACTTTACCATATAAAACAGTCACATAGACCAGAATATGAATGTACTGCCAGTATTCGAATGGTCAGCTGGGACGGTCGATCCAGCGCTCTTACCTGTCACTACCGGGTAGCTCTGTGACACGCTGGAGCCCAAATCTGAGCTGACGCTGGTTGACAGACTGGGCTTGACTTCGTCCAGTCCAGGGTTCAGTGCTGGTAGCGAGTATTCATTAGCCTGCCAATGAGGGGAGGGGGGACACTTTTTAAGTAGATATATCTTGGAATCCAAGCATCACTTTTAGGTGTCCAATTAGAAAGCTTTCTGCCTGTGAGCTGCCATTTCCTTATGTTATTTTAAAACAATTTCGCTCCTTTTTTAAGATGTTTCTTGTGATTTAAGGAAGGGAAAGTGTTTTACACAAAGTACCAGGGATTTAATATAATGGCGGCTCAGCTACTGTGGCTTTGTAAATGGGCACCTGAAATCCAGTCCTACTACACTTGCATTTTATTTTTATTTCCCCCAGTCAGATAGATGTGCATGTGTGTTTTGGTGGAGTTAATGTGAACTGTGTGTGCATACATTAAGGTTGTGAGCGGGACAGAGAGTAGGATTTGGAACAGACTGAAAGGAAGGGGTGTCAGCTGTCTCTTTGTGCTTGACTGCAGTCATTCCCCTGACCAGCCAAGGGAGGAGACGGGTCCGCTTTGTTACATTACCAACATGGCCTCGTTTTCGAGAGCATTGAAATTGTTTTCTTTAGGATGAGAATATGATGACACGAACATGAGCCCTAAAACAGCTCTGTTATTATTTTGAAAAGCTAAAACATCGACGCTTATGTTTTTTCTGGATATGTGCGTTGGATTATGCTGCATTTGAATTTCTTCGTAACTAATTCGACAAATGAGAATAGATTTCCGGCTCCCATTGTTCTTCGCGTATTAAAGTGCGAGCATACATATGTCCGCTCTTACGCGTATACGTCTGCGTGCGTGCGTGTGTGCGTTCGTGCATTTGCGCATCACAATAGGCCTGTGTCCCAATGGGAAATGCTGTGACCCCAGACTTGTCTGTCTCTATTCCAGATAAACTCTAATTGTCTGCTACAAATGTTCAGTTGGCCAGTAGCGGATGTTCCTCTCTATTTGGTCTGGCCTCAGATGCACAACAGCTATTTTATCATGCAGATAGGGGCAAGTTGGGCGTGGGGCAACTGAAGAGCCATCTGAAAAGGATGACCAAATGGCTGGCAGAAGTGTGGGAGGGGTGAGCCCATTGAGTTTAGCATTTCCAAAATGGCTTTTTAATGCCCAGCCTCACACACCAGACATGGCTAATATGTCCGCTCTTTCAAGAGTTAAAAAGGGGGC